CGATCTCTGCCCTCCGACTAACACAGACTGCGACCTGTCCGAGAGGTAAGAGGAGAACCACCGTAGAACAGTGCCTCCCACCCCCACCTCCCGCAGTCTTCACAGAAGGATACCATGGTCGATGGTATCGAAAGCCGCTGAGAGGTCAAGGAGCACTAGGACGGAGGCATAACTTCAGGAGATAAAATTTGCCGGAAAGATTTGAAAGGTTCAAAAAAGTGACTGCTTAATAGTCGGGTTGGTAAACGGAGTTCCCTCTTTTTTCTGCTTACCAGTTCTTCTGCTGCTGTGTTGAATTTTTAAGTATTTGATATTGATCTGACCAGGAGCTTGGAACAGTGCCAGAGACAAGAAATAGAGGTCTGTCTTTTGCTTCGTGGATATTAACAGTAACATCAAGGAGAAAGTGACACCTAGTGGACTGTAAATCTGAATGGTGAAGCTTGATATAAGAAAACATAGGGATACTAATTATTAGAACTGAATACTGAATAACAGATAAAACTGAGAGACATTTATTGATATAGGATAAGGGTGTGATATTTAAATTTATGATATTTACTAATCAAATCAATTAAATAGAATATTACATAGGACTGTTTAAGTATTGAAAGGTGATACCAAGGAAGGATAATTGTTGAATTGTTGTTGAATATTGGATTATACAATTATAATATATTATTGATATTGCTGACAAGTTATAAATAAGGTAAAAGTTATAGCCAATCATGGGCAAGGTCAAATAGGGGGTTAAAAATGGCAACCTCAGTAAAATTAGGGAAAAAGACCATACCAATGTGAGTTCAGCAACACCCCCCTCCTCAAATCAAAAAACAATGGAGAGTGCATGGGGATTGGAGAAAGGGGAAAAGATGGCAGAATCAGCGGGATCAGCACCTACGATGCAGAACATGCAATCGATGCTCCAGATGATACAGGAGACCTTGGCAAAAAGCCAAGAAGAGACAAGGAAGAATCATGAGGAATTAAAAAATGAAATGGGAGAATTGAAAGGAACTATCAAGAATGTAGATGATAAAGTTGAAAAGATACAGAATGCCTTAGCAATCAACGAACAGAAAATCCAATGTATGGAAATAAAAATACAACACTCAGATCAAAAGATGGGAAAAATGGAAATAGAATATAGACAACTTTATAAAGAATTAGAATTATCAATAATCCGACATTCTACCTAAGATTTCAAAACATACCGGAAGAGAAGGAGGAAGATCTGAAAGAAAAAATGATTAATATCCTCACTGAATTTCTGCAAAAAAAAGAACAGGAAGTGAGAGAGAATATTGATGAGGCCTACCGGGTGAATACTAATTATGCAAG